GTAATGGAAATGTTAGGTATATATAAGCATCAACTCATTCCACTTTCATCTGATACTAGCCAAGGATAATAAAAGATGATAAAAGAAGAGTCTTTCTTACTTTTTCTTTTTTTTTTTACGTCAGTAACAATCAAAGTACAGAACAAACGTACTTTGACTGCTGCCAAATGTTGATAAAAGCCTTTCTGGCCTGGTAAAGGAATGCCCTCATGTGACTGAATTACTACCTGGCTCTGACAAGAAAAGTTTCTGTTTCTTTACCTTTCTTGTGATGATTAACAGTGTTAAATGAACTCGTTTTAGGTCATACAATTCTGGACTACTGTTCTGCTGTTTTTCCATTTGAACATTCAACATGATAAAAGGTCCTGTCAGTACTGACTGCTTTATAAAGCAGTTTGACATGTATTTGAACTTGTATTTAATGATGATAATCACACAATTATGCCCATTAATTACCAAACACATTATTTTGTGGTATTAGATCATCAGTTTTAGTTAATTTATCCTTCAAAGAGTTTGAAAGGATAAAGAAAGAACCAGCAGCCGATTTGTTTTAGTCAAACAACTTTTACATTTCAGACTTGCGATTCATAGTATAGTAATGTTTAAGGTCAATTCTGGTTCACATTTTTTTCATTTTTTCATTTAACAGCACTCAGAGATTAAAGACATGAGACTCATTATACTAATGAATACTACCATGAATGTCAGATGTAAAAAAACAAAATAGTTTTCAGGGTTGATTTATGGATTTCGGTTGAATAAATACTTCTAACTCCCCACAAACTTTTACAATTGTTTTTGTGTACCTTTTGGTTTGTGTATTATAAGTGAGAGGATTTTGACACTTTGCTTTTCTGAAAGTTCTAAATGGACACTAATAGCTTTTGTGGCTTGTCATAATGGTACATTTTCTCCCAGTTAGAAAGGACAAAATATAATTTATAACTTTGACCTCAATGGTAAATGAAATGGTGAGTCACAATCCAATAGCAAGTGTTCCAATATTTTTTATTATTGCTCCACTAAACAGTACATTTAGTAGTCAAAACCTTGGGAGGGAGGATTATTATGAAGGCAGAGCGATTATGAGACAGCTGTAAAAGCATAAAGTCACATTTGTTTTGCCCTGATATCGAAAGCAAAAATGATAAGAATCCAGACACTTGAGACAAGTGCCAAAATGCTTCAACAGAAAAAATGTAATTTATCTTATGAGTGAATGAATTTTGGGCTGCAATGCAATCCTAGTTTGGCCATGCTTTGGGAGCTTTATAAACCTCATAGAGGATGCTTCAAACATTGCTTGGCAGAAAGCTTTAGGGGTAAAACAATTATCAGCTTCATCCACATGCAGCTCTATACCTCACAGGGTGAGCTCTTACCCACACCAGACAATTATTAAATCCTCTTTTTGGTAGAGCTGGGTGAGCCTGACCCTTGATTGGTCTTAATCCAATTTACATTTTTACAGAATTCATTCATACACTGCAAGTCTCTGAGTTTATTTTGACTTCATTCCCAGCGGTGCAAAGTCTCCAGTGGTGCTTTGTTTGTTTATAATTGACGGGCAGAAAAAATGTGAAAAGGGACTGATTGAGACGCCAAGAATTCTGATTAGATAATAATTGTTATGCTCGGAGGCTGTCTGCTTTTCAGTCCCCAGGGACAACAATCCCAAACACTCATCCACAGCAAAGATTCAGCGTCCATTTTGCTTATTTTGGTGCCATCTAGCGGTTGGTGTACGCACTTGGCGGAAGTGACGTGTCTCATGGTCTCACCAATCAGCGACCGCGGCTCGCGATTCGAACGTCAACTCCTGGAGGATACGTACGATTTAATGTTGTGTTTTCGTATGCGGGCTAACTGAAATCGCTTATTTTTTGTTGTTTTGAAAAAGAGAAATACAAACCGACTAACTACATGCTGCACGGAGTCTGGTGGGTGTTAAACTACGCAGCTTTATTCGATAATGGCGGCCAGTAACTAGGGAAAATAGGTAGCACTTCGACAGTGTAGCTAGCTTAGCTAAGGAGCTAACGGCGTATTTATGTTTGACCAAAATGGTGTCAGGGAGGCTCGTCGCTTTTCATCATAAACAACGAGGTGTTTATTTGACACGACCACAGATCTGGGGCCATGGCGAGAGAACGGGCGCAGAAGAAGTCCTTCCAGGAGAGTCTGGAGGACATTAAGGAGAGGATGAAGGAGAGGAGGAACAAACGACTGGCCAGTGCTGCAGCTCCTAGCATGGGACGGCGCAGGATGACCAACAAAATCAGTGGTGAGGGCTCCTAATCACGGCCTTTAGGATTTTTATATCATTGGATGCACTCTAAGGGGGGTAATGGTCATTTAGAAATCAGGTCTGGGTCAAAT